TCAGAAACGTCAGAAATACAACTTGCATCAACTTGCACATCAGCAAAAACACACATAATCACACCTATCACGACATATCCACAGTTTCACAACAGGGTCAAAATCAACACGCGGGGTACCATAAAACGTTTTATGTGAGGGGTTATCCCTGGAGATTTCATAGGGCATATTCACATGGCTATGTTGCAAGTTACATGTACCAACCTTTCCGGCAAAGAAACCTAAGAAACCACGCACCTTCATGCACCTTCACTGGAATAACATGGCATGATGCTGACGCCGACACCAACGGCACACACTCTGACATTGGTTTTCAGTTAGCTCAATTCCCCAGTTGAGAAGGAAGGTGGTGGAACGGCAAGGCGAAATAGTCTGGTGACTTGAGTTGTTGAAAAATTGTTTCACTCGCGCTGCTGGCCGCAATGCGCAAGCGGCTGAAAGCTGCGGTGGGAAACCTGTTTGAGGGGGGAGGTATCGTGCGAAAACACCATGGAAGCAAACCAACGAAGATTGGGGTGACAGCTTGTGAAAAACTCAGCAGGTACATGGTCGAGCGTCCTCAACCACATCCCTTCCAGTGACCCAGCTTCGTTGGATCAGGTTAGTCACTGGAAGCCTGATCCCCCTGCTTTTGTTTCCGCATCCCTGCCTCGTCGTTCTCAAGTAGTGGTGAGCTCTGGGGTTCTAGAAGCCTCTAGATCCTTGAAATCGAAAGTGCAGCTGCAACAAATTCGAAGGAATAAGCTCTTGCATGCATGTCGCTATGAAATCCGAAGGTACAGAGAATCCGTAAATCCGTAAAAAGCCCGGCGGCTTTGAATCCTGTTAATTCAGTATTGACACGGAAGCAGTGAAAGTGATCCAGGATGAAAGGACGATAAATCAGGAGAACGACTTCCGGTATGAAAACGGCGCCTCCTTGCGGAGGATCACACCCAGCACACAAGTGGGACGGCTGAGCGGTTCACACTCTGACATTGGTTTTCAGTTAGCTCAATTCCCCAGTTGAGAAGGAAGGTGGTGGAACGGCAAGGCGAAATAGTCTGGTGACTTGAATTGTTGAAAAATTGTTTCACTCGCGCTGCTGGCGGCAATGCACAAGCGGCTGAAAGCTGCGGTGGGAAACCTGTTTGAGGGGGAGGTATCGTGCGAAAACACCATGGAAGCAAACCAAGGAAGATTGGGGTGACACATGGTCGAGCGTCCTCAACCACATCCCTTCCAGTGACCCAGCTTCGTTGGATCAGGTTAGTCACTGGAAGCCTGATCCCCCTGCTTTTGTTTCTCAAGTAGTGGTGAGCTCTGGGGTTCTAGAAGCCTCTAGTTCCTAGTAGCAAGGCCAAGAGCAGCTAGTAGCAACCAGCCCTCTAGAAACCGACTAGGCACAAACCTTAGGAACAGGTGTTGACACACACACACACACACACATCACGACACATCTGCCTGCGGGGATGGTCTCGAGCATCTGGAGTGCATTGATCCGCCCCCTGAGGTCGGTTCGGGAAGAACCGCGAAGCCATGCGGTTTTTGCATCGGGTTTGGCTCGGCCTCCTCTCCCGAAAGTGTGCGGACTTGGTCTGGCTCTGGCCAGGCGTTTGACGGTGACAGGCCAGGAGTTCCAAAGGGTTCTGGACATGAATTAAGTCTGGAGTGTCCTTAAATATATACTATCAGCACTCTTGTAACGAGCGTCACGTTGTGAAGGATTTTGCTTCGGAGGTGGCAGCTGGTCTATGTCCAACACTGACGAGGAGGATTGAATATTTGACCCTGGAGTCGGCAGCCGATCGCTGGAGACATTTCTGAGTGTCCTCCATTCACCTGTTCATCTGGTTGGTGGTTTCAATTGAAACATATCATATTTGTCAGTGGGCCCAAATCATCCTAAGTAACGGTTGAGCAGTTGAACATACTTGAACATCAACATAACTACCTCCCGTTGCTACTAGTAGCATCTAGTAGCTTCTTGTTCCTACTAGTAAGGCCAGGAGCTACTAGTAGCGTCCTTGCTCCTAATAGCGATGCCCTTTGCTCCTAGTAGCTTGTGTTTCGCCCAAAGCAATATGAAAGCGCCACCCGGTCATCTATGTTCATCTCATTTTCGCCGAGGAGCTGATCCACCTTCTTGGTCTCTCTTGGCCGCTTCTCCTCTTCGTCTCGCGGCTTTTCCTTCTTCTTCGGCTGCTTGGGAGGTTCTTCATGGTACACTTCACAGCAGTCCGCCATGGCGATCTGATCTCCGCTCAGACAACAATTTCGAGCTGCAAAAAAACAATCCCCTCGCCAGTGGAGCTGCAAAAAACAACCCCCCCACAGCACGACGCTCGCCATCGTGTCATGTGTCAGGGCAGGATATCAAATCAATTACAGCATGTCTCGAAGGCCCAAGTAGCACGCGAAGCCATCTGGTGTTGGTTGGAGATGGGCATCTTCCAACGACGACCATTTCCAGTTTTGGTCACAGTTTTTCAGTGCTGACGGCAACACGATCGCAACAAAATAGCATCAAATAACCTCACACGACCGCAAAAAAAAAATGCCAAACAAGCACAACAACCAAAGCGACCCCCAAAAAAACAAACCGACCAGAACATTTCGGTAGTTCGAAAGTCCAGGTAGTTGGGGGAGCCAATCCAAGGTTGAAGGCGTTCCTCCAATGAAGAAAAACACACCTACATCCTGGCTCGCCCAACGGTCCATTTTTCGTCGTGTTCATCCTCCAGCGGCCGCTTGGCCCAGGCCATGACCAAGGCCACGCTCTCCTGAGAAGTTGCGTGACCGGTGGAGAACCCACTTGCACAAGGCTGGTTGTTTTCGAGGAACCTCCTAAAACTGACTCCACAACGCTGAGCACCAGCGAGCGTTGTAATGCGGAACTGTGTAAGATGTGTTTGCATTACTCGGCATGGCTCCCAGCAAGGGGTCACGTTCTAGAAGTTTTGGATTCTAATTGCCAAAGCTTCTCTTATTGCGCACGGTGACCCAACAAAAAATCAAACAATCAAGTGCACATGGCACTGCCATGGCACCAAACACTGGTCATGCGTTGTACTTATTTCACTTGTCATTCAACCAATTTCAAGATTAAGACCTGAAAACCTGACACAAATTCCTTGAAGATCCTCTTCCAAACCTGTTTGCCTTTTGTTGAAGATCCTCGGCTCGTCCGAACCCAACGCCCACGACCTTTGCCGCCTGGGATTTTGCCCCCGCACGTCTTTTCATCTCTTTTCCACCTCTTTGATCGGCCTCTCCGCCCACCAACCCGAACAACTTCTGGAGCCTCTTCCACCTTTGACTGTCCTCTTCCACCTCGATCTGTTTCTTTTCGTTTCGGACCGTCGGGCCCCGACCTCCGCCTCGACCGCGTCGGCTCCGCGCAGGCGCGGCCGGGCGCAGGTGCGGAAGAGCTCCAGCGCCGAGTCGTCGGGCTCCACGCCTCAAGTGGCGGGAGGGGAAGCGAGGCGGCCCGGGCAGTGGCTGGATGGTGACTATATGTGGATGTGGCATATATGGTTTCATCTGTATGTCTTGTGGATGAAGATGGGAAAACATGAAATGAGATGCGGATATATGATATACAGATATATATATATATATACATTATGTCACCTGTGTTGTTTTGCTCATTGTACCGATCATGATCGATATCAAAACAGGGAAGCCTTTAAATTCCTTCAAATATCTGACCTTGGCTGAACAAACGTGCACCTCGTGAAAGCTATAAAGCCCAGTTGTAAGCTTCGAGTGTCCAGAAACTCACCGAAACCATGGCCAGCATTGGCCAGCTGTCCGTGGAAAAAAGTTGGCTCCTCCTTTTCCTCCTGAGCTTCATGCTGCATCCCTCCAAGTCACATGGCAAACCACTCTTCTTGTCCATGTAGACCGCTCGGCGGATCTGATGCCCCACCACGGCGTATCTGGCACTCAGGTGCTCCAAGGCCTCCCAAAGGGGCTTCGCCAGCCTGGCTCAGTTCAGCGTCACAAAAAAGAGGAAGTGAATCAAAAAGTACATCTTAAACCTTGTCTATCCGTCTCTACTCCCAAATTCATGAGATTTGGACCTTGATTAGCAAGTGACTCAGAAACATAAACTTGTTGAAAGCTCTGTATGGTTTTCTATGGATCCCTGCTTCGATTCAAGAGAAGAAGCTCCCATAATTCCTTAGTCCATGGCGCTGGTCCAAGAAAAGCACATCTGCTGCCAGGACGGTCTCGAAGCCATGCTGCCGCCAGGGCGGTGGGCCTCCAAAACAATCCCCCCCGGTGGCGGCAGGAGATGAGCCACGATGAGCCCATGAAGACTCATACTAGCGACTGCTAGTGGGATTACCTTGTTCAACTAATTATCATTTAATGTGCGCACATGTGGGCTGGTCAGCAATAGAACAGAATATATAATGCCGGCAAATTTGCAAAAAGAGTTTGATCACTACTTGCTTGGGATCTCGATGATCAGTCCAAGGCCAGAGCATAGGGCCTATGGTATCTTATGGCCTTGAAAGTTGTGAAGTGCCCACCCTGATGATGTTGCTCGAATTTTGGAAGATGACTGCAACACAGGGTGAGGCGGAAGCTTTTTCTGCCATAGCTGCTGGTACCCTCCAAAATGTTAAAGATTCTAGACACCTGTCGTAGACCTAATGTCTATATATCATATATATATATAGTCTATAGTGTCTCGTCCAGCCCCCTCCAAGGTAATCAGTAATCACTTCTGCTAAGATCCAAACTGCCACTAGCCTAGTTTCTATCAATGAATGAATGAATCAATCAATCGGGCCACACATAATATCTATATTGCCGGAATTGTTGGCCCCCTTCAAGGAAAATAAACGCACACACACACACACAGGTGCAACGGGTTGTTCCAGACAAAAACGTGACACCTTTTTCATCCTTTTTCAGGAGTGACCCACGCCGGTGGGTGCCCCCTGTCACCGCCACGCAGGACGCGCCTCGCACGAAATCATAGGCCACGACGTCAAACTTCGTCAAAGCATTGGTCTTCGCGGTCTCTTGTGCCAGCTTCAGCACGGGCAGCTCCTTTCCAAACAGCCCGACCGCAAAGACGACCAACAGCATGGAATGACCGAAATGACCAAAATTTTGCTGAAATCTGAAACACTTAGCTTAGCAGTATCTTAGCGGTATGACATTAGCAGCTCAGCAGAAATTCAAGGAGGAAGGTTCGGGAGGACTTTTTTGCTTGAGCATCCAGCATGCTCAAGCTGCATCAACGATTTTCTGTGAGCAATGCGGCACGAGTCCGGTGCCATCGGGGACTCCATTCTCAAAAGTTTCACCTCTGAATTCTTTTTCTCGGGCCTTCCTGCTTTGCGGCTTGAGATCATCAAGGCCTTGACGGGTCTCCCAAGTTCACTTCTAGCAATGGCAAGCTAAACTCCCCATGCACCCCAAGCCGGTCGGAACAACGCCTTCGACTCTTGGGCCACTTCTTCAACTTCACCCTTCCCCTTGGTGGGCACCTTTCATTCTGGTGACAGTTTTGGCGTCCCTCCCACAGGGCAAGGCTTAAATATATACCACACCTTGTCCGTCAAAACCAGGAAGCTGCTGGTTTTCGTGGCTGCGCTCATGGCAGTCCCCAGGGCGCCCAAACCACAGCCCAGCTCGAGGAGAAGCCTCTACCAAGCTGAAAGACGAAAACTAGCGCCCAAACCGTTGAGTTGGATTTTGACTACATGACGAAATCTGAAGGGTGTGAGTGGCATAGCATATCAGCGGATTTGCATGAGTCGTTGTACCCTTAATATCCCTTAATTAACATGGGAAATCATGGCTTCAACAATGCCAAGCAATGACAAAAATATGCAAAACTGCTCAACGAAGAGTTCTTCGAGGCTTCTTGGGATTAAAAATTATCCGAGAAATTGGATCAACTCTCCCAACTCCCAACCATGGCTTGCTCCCGCTTTGATGGGTCCCTCTTCTTGGTGGGCCAAAGCAGCTTCTGTGTCCTGTCTAGCCACAGCCCCACAGCACCACTCACAGTGGTGAAACACGCGAATCTATGCCACAAGCCTGGTCCGCCCAGTCTCCAGCTGCTGAAAAGCTCGAGCTGCTGCACGAGTGGCCGGCATCCAGGTTTGAAACCCTGTGACATCCTCTGGCAAAACAATGTGAGTGACACTGTGAGTGACTTCTTCGAGAAGGGAAACATATGAGAAACATGCGGAGTTCATCTTCCTACATAATTTTGCAAGTCACTCAGACTGGACGCCAAATTCTTTTGAGCTCTCTTTCTGAGGGTTTCTCCTCCAATGCCCGAGAAACGTGGGAGCATCTGACATGCGCAAGATGTGTGGGATTGACACTAATTCTAGGATAGCAAGATTATTCTGATCGAAAGTCGCAACCATAGTAAATATGGACCCCAAAGGGATCCGAAGGGCCTGTACGGTAGACTTTCACGGCCCCAACCAATCAAAATCTGTGCCCGTCTATGCCGAGCCCTTCCTCGCATCCAATCCGTGCGGCTTCTGGAACTGTCGCGATCCTGGACAAGCGGAGCGGAGCAAGGCCACAGGAAGATGAGAGAGCCCTCCAAAAGGAGGCCAGGACACCTGTAGATGTCCTAGGGTGTGGTAGACAGGTACGAGTAATTTGTCTTACTATAGCTTTATGATGTACCTTACAGCCTAACTCTGAAATCTCAAGGATTCGTAAAAAAGCCAAAAAAAAAAAAGCAAAACCACACTCACAAAGGATGACCAGGAAATGCAAAAGAAATGCATAAAAAAAAGCAAAAAAAAGGCAGCTGCTCAAAAAGAGTGCATATCAAAAAGCAAAAAAATGCAAAAGGAAGCCAGAAAAAAAAAAAAAAACAGAACAGCAGTTCAAAAAAGCAAAAACAATGCAAACAAATGCACATGCAAAACCAAATTTCACACACCACCTTTTTTGTGCGATTTTGTTGCATTGTTTTTGCATTTTTGGTGCGATTTTTTTGCATTTTGTTTGCATTGTTTTTGCTTTGTATTTGTTTTTTTTTTTTCGATTTGTTTTTTGCGTTTTCTCAAGGAAACGCACAAAAAATCCAATTTTCAAATACAAAGCAAACAAAAATGCAAAGGCAAAGACCAGAACGTTTTTGACCGCATTTGTTTTGCTTTTTGATTGCATTTTTTTTTGCATTTTTTGTGCCTTTTTTGTACATTTTTTTTACATTTTTTGTGCGTTTTTTTGCATTGGTTTAGTGGACAAATGCGTTTTTATCGCAATTGTTTTGCGTTCTTTTGCATTCCAAGGCATCCAGTCGTACCTTCTGAGAAGGTGGGACTGGGTGCCCAGGTGCCATGTTCGGGTCCAGTCATACTAGGAACAAGAAGCCATTAGGAACAACTTTGGCAGACGTATGGAGGGTCAGGACTATCAAATGCTACTTCTATCATATCATAATGCCCTGGCCTCCAAGCTACTAGCAATGGCCTCCAACCGATTGGGGATGGCCTCCAATGGTCCAACCTAATTGACTTCCTTCTGAATAGTGACCCTCATACCAAAAAGCGTTCATACCCATTGGATTCAACCCCCGTGCGTTGGACATTGTAGGATGCGATTGATGAATCCTGTCCAGCTACAGACTTGTTTTTGCGTTTTCTGTGCATTTTTTTGGGATTGGTTTTGCATTATGTTTGCATTGTTTATGCATTTTTTATGTTTTGCTGTGTCATCAGAACTAGCTT